AATTTCTAGGGAAAAAAAACTAACCCAAAAAGTTTTTTTTTTTCCCGGTCAAAAAACAAAAGTTAAAAGATAAGAAAGGGCCCCCCCAAAAATAACTATTTGGGGACCTTTCTGACAAAGAGAATGAAATGTGCTTGATTTTAAAAAATTAAAAATTCCCCTCAGTTTTTTTCACAAAGGGAAAAACCACAAAAAAAATATTCCGTTTAAATTTAATTTTTTCCCGTGGGGTAGAAGAAGATAAAATTTTGTAAAATCAACAGTCACTAGTGGATGGTTTTTGAGGCAGAAGAAAAGACTGAAGCAAAATAATCCCAGGGCCTGATGAGGTTTTTTTAAGGGTTTTTTAAGGGAAAGCAAAAAAAAATGGAAACCGGGGAACCATTTAAAATATTTTTTAAATTTTTCTCTTCAAACAGGTGTAGTGTCTGATTGTGGAAGATGGCTAATTTAACCCTATTTTTTAAAAAGGGAAAAAGTCGTTTTCCGGGCAAAATTTTCCGCCCAATTTAAACCCGACCTCAAATTTTAGGCAAAATTTCAAAAGTCAATTATAGCTGAGATTATAAAAGCCAACTCGGGTAAAACCCTAGCTTGATTAAGAACCAGCTTGGATTCACAAGAGGCCGGCTTTTCAAAAAAATTTTTTAACTTTCCCCAGTAAAAACTTTTGAGGCTGGACCACAATAAAGAATTTTTTATTATTTTTCTTAATTTTAGTAAGGCTTTTATAGAGTTCCGCACCATAGACTGTTTAAAAAAAAGTCCCGCCCCATGGGATTGGGGAAAAGTGCTCTCTGGAACGAGTCATTGGGTCACTGACAGGAACAGAGAGTGTTTCCCATAAATTTGGGGTTTTAAAAACCCCAGTGGGATCTGTAACAAGTGGCGTTCCACAGGGATCCGTCTTGGGGCCCGGTTTTTTTTTATAAAAAATATAAACAATGATCTTGTAGGGAATTACAATTTATATAGCAAAATTTGCCGATGACAAAAAAGATAGTTTGGGAAAAAGATTCAAACGTAGATGTTAGGGAACTTCAGGGGGGATTTAACCCAAAATCTATTCTTGGTCAGAAAGTGGAAAAATGCAGTTTTAAAGTGATAAATGCAAGGTTCTGAGGCTTGGGAGTGCCCATAACACTATTTCTTATAAATTAAATGTGTAGAACTTTGCCATACAAAGCGAAAAGGGCTTGGGGGTTTTGGTGAGCAGCAAAATTAAAAAAAGACCCGCAATTCCTAAGCCGGGACGTAAAAAGGCAAATAATTACTGGGATTTTTTAAAAAAAAAAATTTTAAGGGAACAGAAGTCCAGAGGCCCTACTGCAGCTTTATACATCATTTTGTAAGGGCCCCACCAGAAATGCAGCTCATTCTGGTCCCGTATTTTCAAAATGGGGCATAAATTCGTTTGAAAACATTCAGCGTAGGATGACAAAAAAAATTTCATAGCATCAAAAAATCTTCCCTTTTGAAGAAAAAAAATAAGACTCTTAAGTTACAATTTACTTTTTAGAAAAGAAAGAGGGGAGACCTGGTCGAAGTGGAAAAAATGGAAGATAGGGATAAATAAAGGGGGGTATTAAAAAAGGGCTTGAGGATGTCTCTTCCAAGAGAGAACCGCAGTAAAGGGGAATTTTTTTTTTTTTTAAATTAAAGGGAATTTAGATTTTGAAAGGGCATAGGAAAAATATGGTTTGGAAAAAAGGACCCCATTACTGTCCCCCAGGACAGCCCCTCCAGTTTTCACCTTCTGTCTCCCAGGACAGCACTATCAGCCCCCCATTTACTGACTACCTGGACATCATCTCCAGCCTTACAGTTTCTGACTACATGGCCAGTATCAAGGGCAGTACCATTCAGCCCAGACTTTTTATGTTCCCATCTGTTGTAGAAAGCTTCCAGGTTTTCTATGAAAGCAGCTTTGATGTTGACCTCTTTTAATACCCTTGTGATTTTAGTCCACAGATTTATCTCATTTGGGCATACCCAAAAACACTTCCCTGTTTTAATACTGCTTGTAGCTAGTTCTTGGATATCTGCACAAGGGGCGTGACACCACAATAATAGGTATGGATGTTTTGTATGGAGAGTAAGTAAGTAAGTTTATTCAGGTATACACAAATACAGTTACATAGAATTATCATACATAGCAGCATATGTGTAGAGAACCTAGGATAACCCAAAAAGTCAGACACAGTGACTTATTTCCATTGGGGTTTAGAGTTTTGAATATTGGTGGAGTGTGCTGACTGTAGTGGGAATTTGTTATCATTCTGACTGCAGCCTTTTGTTGGGTAATTAATGGTCTGAGATGGTTTATTGTTGTTGAGCCCCATGCACAAATTCCATAGGTGAGATAGGGGTAAATAAATGAGTGATATAGGGCCAGTAGGGCTGATTGTGGAACATAGTACCGTATCTTCCATAGTATACCTACGGTCTTGGAGATTTTCTTGGAAATTTGTTGTACATGTGTTTGAAATTTGAGTCTATTATCAAGGTGGATTCCTAAGAATTTTCCCTCTGTGAGCTTTGTGATAGATGATCTGTTTATCATTATGTTAAGAAGGACTTCTGTAGCTCTGTTACCAAACTGAATGAAGTAGGTTTTGTCAATGTTAAGAGTAAGTTTGTTAGTCCTCATCCAGGTAGATATTTTCTGTAATTCGGTATTCACAGTAAGAGAGATATTACCTAGAGTATTACCTAGTATGACTGGGCTCGGGTGGGAGAAGACATATGTAGTGTCATCTGCAAATAGTGTGGGTTTAAGTAGTTGCGATGCATTTAGTAGGTCATTTATGTAAACGAGAAAGAGAAGAGGGCCAAGGACACTACCCTGTGGGACACCAACTGTAATTGGCTGTGTGGAAGAGTTTGCTCCATTTGTGTACACATATTGGTTTCCGTTGCTGAGGTATGACTTTAAGTAGTTGCCCTCTTATACCACTCACTTATTTATCCATACCTCACCTATGCTATTTGTGCTTGGGGATCAACTGCAGCAACACACCTAAAGCCAATAATAACCCAACAAAAAGCCTCAGTAAGAATAATCACTAAATCCCATCCCTGGCAACACCCCCTCCCCCCACTCTTCATAGATCTAAACTTACTCCCTGTTCAGAACATCCACACTTAATACTGTGCAATCTATATCTACAGGACCTTAAATTTCAATATTAACCTTGACCTTAAACGCTTTCTTGATAGTTGTGACAGGATCCATAGGCATAACACCAGACACAAACATCTCTGACATTCCCCGTGTTCGACTAAACCTTTACAAAAATTCAATGTATTTCAAAGGACCTAAAATCTGGAACACCCTACCTGAAAACTCTAGAACTGCAGACACATTCATCACTTTCAAAACTACAGTTAGAAAACATCTTATCTCCCTGATACACCCCGACAACTAACTACATGATAACCACCTGGTGGTTCACAATTACTCACTCACCCACTGACTATAAACCCAGAAATACTAATCTTAATCTTAAAATAATAAATCCTAACTAGTCATAAGTTTGCCTATGATATTCCAATATAGACACTTTGTATTGTGCCAAAACAAAAGCATTCACATTGCTAAACTCACAAATTATGATGTAGTCACTTAGCCTTAATATCATAATCTGTAAGGATTTAATGTTAAGAATTAATCTAAGTCTGCTCAAAATGCCTAGCCAGGCTAGGTGTCCTAGTGGCCCCCTCTGTAATTAGTATTTTATAATATGTAAACCATACAAAACCCAAAACCTGTAAACCCCACATTGGAACCCTTAGTTGAGTTTAATATCTTTATTATGCACCCCATAACCATCCTGTGGGCGGTAGTCAAAAGATTACAAAGGTACATAATGGGTCCAGGGACTGGATCCCAAAGTTATGATAGCTGAACTAGTTACAAAGGTAATGAACTCCAGGTAGATCTGGTCACAATCATGGCAAGTTACAAAGGTAATGAATCAACCCTTCCTAGGCTTATACCTTGACAACAACCTGAATTTCAGCACCCATATCCAGCATATAGCCAAAAAAGTATCCAAAACGGTTGGGATCCTCTCCAAGATACGATACTACGTGCCGCAAAATGCCCTTCTCACACTATACCACTCACTTATTTATCCATACCTCACCTATGCTATTTGTGCTTGGGGATCAACTGCAGCAACACACCTAAAGCCAATAATAACCCAACAAAAAGCTGCAGTAAGAATAATCACTAAATCCCATCCCTGGCAGCCACCCCCCCCCCCCCCCACTCTTCAAAGATCTAAACTTACTCCCAGTTCAGTACATCCACACTTACTACTGTGCAATCTATATCTACAGGGCCTTAAACTCTAATATCAACCTTGACCTAAAACGCTTTCTTGATAGTTGTGACAGAACCCACAGGCATAACACCAGACACAAACATCTCTACGACATTCCCCGTGTCCGACTAAACCTTTACAAAAATTCAATGTATGTCAAAGGCCCTAAAATCTGGAATACCCTACCTGAGAACTCTAGAACTGCAGACACATTCATCACCTTCAAAACTACCATTAGAAAACATCTTATCTCCCTGATACACCCCGTCAACTAACTACACGAATACCTCCTGGTGGTTCACACTTACACTCGCTCACTCATCTGACCATAAACAGAAATATTAATCTCAGTCTTAAAATAATGAATCCTGTGATACTCCAATACTGAAACTATGTACTGTGCCAAAACAAAAGCATTCACATTGCTAAACTTATAAACTAGTATTTAGTCACTTAGCCATAAGACCAACTTACCTCATAATTTGTAATATTTTACAATTAAGAATAAAACTAAGTATGCCCGAAATGCCTAGCCATGCTAAGCGTTCTAGTGGTACACTCTGTAATCACAATTTTACTACATGTAAACCAAACAATAACCAAATTTCTGTAAACTCAGCATTGTAATCCTTATAGAGAATAAACTTGAATTGAATGTGCATTTCCAAGAACACCATGAAGCCTGTTGTTGACTCATTTGAGTTCCTCTCTAGTTGTGTTGTCACAGAATTTAACCAAATCAAGTGAAAACTTTTGTTCTCATTAATATTTTCAAAGCAAATTTATCTTTCCTACCTTCAGTTCTGGCTCAAGTTGGTCACTATTGCTTCAGCAGCATCAGGTAAGTTAGACTGAACTTGGCCTAAGTTTTAGTAGCTCTCAAACCTGACATCAACAACAAGAAGTCACATCCCTCAAGTTAGTTCAATTATCTTCATTATATTGAAAGTTTGTTGTGTATCGTCAAAATTATGCAGATGTGACGTAAGTGGTAATGTTTGCATATTAATTTATTTTGGAAAAACTTGACAAAGAATGTAGAATGTTGTGAAATATGTTAACGCAGCTGTTGTGGCCGTCTTAACCAGGTTCATTGTACTGTCAACCTTATAGAGGCCCTCACGGGATTTTGATCCAAGGAGAGGGATCTGGCCTTCCCATGGATCCATTCCGATGTGATGAGATTTGTTGGGATTTTTAACCCAAGGTAGAGATTATTATTATTATTATTATTATTATTATTATTATTATTATTATTATTATTATAACTAAACAATGAACTAAGGGGGAGGGTTAGCTACCTTGGATAACCCAGGGTAGGGAGGGTTAGCCACCTTGGATAACCCAGGGTAGGGAGGGTTAGCCACCTTGGATAACCCAGGGTAGGGAGGGTTAGCCACCTTGGATAACCCAGGGTAGGGAGGGTTAGCCACCTTGGATAACCCAGGGTAGGGAGGGTTAGCCACCTTGGATAACCCAGGGTAGGGAAGGTTAGCCACCTTGGATAACCAGGGTAGGAGGGTTAGCCACCTTGGATAACCCAGGGTAGGGAGGGTTAGCCACCTTGGATAACCAGGGTAGGGAGGGTTAGCCACCTTGGATAACCCAGGGTAGGGAGGGTTAGCCACCTTGGATAACCCAGGGTAGGGAGGGTAGCCACCTTGGATAAAACCCCGGGTAGGGAGGGTTAGCCGCCTTGGATAACCCAGGGTAGGGAGGGTTAGCCACCTTGGATAACCCAGGGTAGGGAGGGTTAGCCACCTTGGATAACCCAGGGTAGGGGGGGTTAGCCACCTTGGATAACCCAGGGTAGGGAGGGTTAGCCACCTTGGATAACCCAGGGTAGGGAGGGTTAGCCACCTTGGATAACCCAGGGTAGGGAGGGTTAGCCACCTTGGATAACCCAGGGTAGGGAGGTTAGCCACCTTGGATAACCCAGGGTAGGGAGGGTTAGCCACCTTGGATAACCCAGGGTAGGGAGGGTTAGCCACCTTGGATAACCCAGGGTTGGGAGGGTTAGCCACCTTGGATAACCCAGGGTATGGGAGGGTTAGCCACCTTGGAAACCCAGGGTAGGGAGGGTTAGCCACGTTGGATAACCCAGGGTAGGGAGGCTTGGCCACCTTGGATAACCCAGGGTACGGAGGGTTAGCCACCTTGGATAACTCAGGGTAGGGAGGGTTAGCCACCTTGGATAACCCAGGGTAGGGAGGGTTAGCCACTTGGATAACCCAGGGTAGGGAGGTTAGCCACCTTGGATAACCCAGGATAGGGGGTTTAGCCACCTTGGATACCCAGGGTAGGAGGGTTAGCCACCTTGGATAACCCAGGGTAGGGAGGGTTAGCCACCTTGGATAACCCAGGGTAGGTAGGGTTAGCCACCTTGGATAACCCAGGGTAGGGAGGGTTAGCCACCTTGGATAACCCAGGGTAGGGAGGGTTAGCCACCTTGGATAACCCAGGTAGGGAGGGTTAGCCACCTTGGATAACCCAGGGTTAGGAGGGTTAGCCACCTTGGATAACCCAGGGTAGGGAGGGTTTGCCACCTTGGATAACCCAGGGTAGGGAGGGTTGCCACCTTGGATAACCCAGGGTAGGAGGGTTAGCCACCTTGGATAACTCAGGGTGGGAGGGTTAGCCACCTTGGATAACCAGGGTAGGGAGGGTTAGCCACCTTGGATAACCCAGGGTAGGGAGGTTAGCCACCTTAGGATAACCCAGGGTAGGGAAGGTTAGCCACCTTGGATAACCCAGGGTAGGGAGGGTTAGCCACCTTGGATAACCCAGGGTAGGGAGGGTTAGCCACCTTGGATAACCCAGGGTAGGGAGGGTTAGCCACCTTGATAACCCAGGGTAGGGAGAGGTTAGCCACCTTGGATAACTCAGGGTAGGGAGGGTTAGCCACCTTGGATAACCCAGGGTAGGGAGGGTTAGCCACCTTGGATAACCCAGGGTAGGGAGGGTAGCCACCTTGGATAACCCAGGGTAGGGAGGGTTAGCCACCTTGGATAACCCAGGGTAGGGAGGGTTAGCCACTTGGATAACCCAGGGTAGGGAGGGTTAGCCACTTGGATAACCCAGCGTAGGGAGGGTTAGCCACCTTGGATAACCCAGGGTAGGGAGGGTTAGCCACCTTGGATAACCCAGGGTAGGGAGGGTTAGCCACCTTGGATAACCCAGGGTAGGGAGGGTTAGCCACCTTGGATAACCCACGAGGGAGGGTTAGCCACCTTGGTTAACCCAGGGTAGGGAGGTTAGCCACCTTGGATAACCCAGGGTAGGGAGGGTTAGCCACCTTGGATAACCCAGGGTAGGGAGGGTTAGCCTCCTTGGATAACCCAGGGTAGGGAGGGTTAGCCACCTTGGATAACCCAGGGTAGGGAGGGTTAGCCACCTTGGTTAACCCAGGGTTGGGAGGGTTAGCCACCTTGGATAACCGAGGGTAGGGAGGGTTAGCCACCTTGGATAACCCAGGGTAGGGAGGGTTAGCCGCCTTGGATAACCCAGGGTTAGGGAGGGTTAGCCACTTGGATAACTCAGGGTAGGGAGGTTAGCCACCTTGGATAACCCAGGGTAGGGAGGGTTAGCCACCTTGGATAACCCAGGGTAGGGAGGGTTAGCCACCTTGGATAACCCAGGGTAGGGAGGGTTAGCCACCTTGGATAACCCAGGGTAGGGAGGGTTAGCCACCTTGGATAACCCAGGGTAGGGAGGGTTAGCCACCTTGGATAACCCAGGGTAGGGAGGGTTAGCCACCTTGGATAATCCAGGGAAGGGAGGGTTAGCCACCTTGGATAACCCAGGGTAGGGAGGGTTAGCCACCTTGGATAACCCAGGGTAGGGAAGGTTAGCCACCTTGGATAACCCAGGGTAGGGAGGGTTAGCCACCTTGGATAACCCAGGGTAGGGAGGGTTAGCCTCCTTGGATAACCCAGGGTAGGGAGGGTTAGCCGCCTTGGATAACCCAGGGTAGGGAGGGTTAGCCACCTTGGATAACTCAGGGTAGGGAGGGTTAGCCACCTTGGATAACCCAGGGTAGGGAGGGTTAGCCACCTTGGATAACCCAGGGTAGGGAGGGTTAGCCACCTTGGATAACCCAGGGTAGGGAGGGTTAGCCACCTTGGATAACCCAGGGTAGGGAGGGTTAGCCACCTTGGATAACCCAGGGTAGGGAGGGTTAGCCACCTTGGATAACCCAGGGTAGGGAGGGTTAGCCACCTTGGATAACCCAGGGTAGGGAGGGTTAGCCACCTTGGATAATCCAGGGAAGGGAGGGTTAGCCACCTTGGATAACCCAGGGTAGGGAGGGTTAGCCACCTTGGATAACCCAGGGTAGGGAAGGTTAGCCACCTTGGATAACCCAGGGTAGGGAGGGTTAGCCACCTTGGATAATCCAGGGTAGGGAGGGTTAGCCACCTTGGATAACCCAGGGTAGGGAGGGCTAGCCACCTTGGATAACTCAGGGTAGGGAGGGTTAGCCACCTTAAATAACTCAGGGTAGGGAGGGTTAGCCACCTTGGATAATCCAGGGTAGGGAGGGTTAGCCACCTTGGATAACCCAGGGTAGGGAGGGTTAGCCACCTTGGATAACCCAGGGTATGGAGGGTTAGCCACCTTGGATAACCCAAGGTAGGGAGGGCTAGCCACCTTGCGTAACCCAGGGTAGGGAGGGTTAGCCACCTTGGATAATCCAGGGAAGGGAGGGTTAGCCACCTTGGATAACCCAGGGTAGGGAGGGCTAGCCACCTTGGATAACCCAGGGTAGGGAGGGCTAGCCACCTTGGATAACTCAGGGTAGAAAGGGCTAGCCACCTTGGATAACCCAGGGTAGGGAGGGTTAGCCACCTTACCTGGAGTTACCTGGAGAGAGTTTCGGGGGTCAATGCCCCCGCGGCCCGGTGTGTGACCAGGCCTCCTGGTGGATCAGCGCCTGATCAACCAGGCTGTTGCTGCTGGCTGCACGGAAACCAACGTACGAGCCACAGCCCGGCTGATCAGGAACTGAATTTAGGTGCTTGTCCAGTGCCAGCTTGAAGACTGCCAGGGGTCTGTTGGTAATCCCCCTTATGTGTGCTGGGAGGCAGTTGAACAGTCTCGGGCCCCTGACACTTATTGTATGGTCTCTTAACGTGCTAGTGACACCCCTGCTTTTCATTGGGGGGATGGTGCATCGTCTGCCAAGTCTTTTGCTTTCGTAGTGAGTGATTTTCGTGTGCAAGTTCGGTACTAGTCCCTCTAGGATTTTCCAGGTGTATATAATCATGTATCTCTCCCTCCTGCGTTTCCAGGGAATACAGGTTTAGAAACCTCAAGCGCTTCCAGTAATTGAGGTGTTTTATCTCCGTTATGCGCGCCGTGAAAGTTCTCTGTACATTTTCTAGGTCGGCAATTTCACCTGCCTTGAAAGGTGCTGTTAGAGTGCAGCAATATTCCAGCCTAGATAGAACAAGTGACCTGAAGAGTGTCATCATGGGCTTGGCCTCCCTAGTTTTTTGAAGGTTCTCATTATCCATCCTGTCATTTTTCTAGCAGATGCGATTGATACAATGTTATGGTCCTTGAAGGTGAGATCCTCCGACATAATCACTCCCAGGTCTTTGACGTTGGTGTTTCGCTCTATTTTGTGGCCAGAATTTGTTTTGTACTCTGATGAAGATTTAATTTCCTCATGTTTACCATATCTGAGTAATTGAAATTTCTCATCGTTGAACTTCATATTGTTTTCTGCAGCCCACTGAAAGATTTGGTTGATGTCCGCCTGGAGCCTTGCAGTGTCTGCAATGGAAGACACTGGGTAGGGAGTAGGGTAGGGAGGGTTAGCCACCTTAAATAACTCAGGGT